AAGAAATGAGGACAATCAGTTTGAACTCCCATTGCATGGTGCTGTTTTAAAAACCCATGAGACGCTTCCCAAATCATTCATGTCGCCAAACAGATGTATCCGGGCAACTCCAAGTTTTTAGTAGAAGCCTACCGCGAAGTCACCTTACGGCTACCTGATGCTGGACTTAAAGCCGTACACGTCCAAGGAGATGAGATTAAAACTCACATTTTCCCAAATGAATACACCATCGTCTATGTGCCCAAGGCTTAAATAAGAAGATCCATCATACGTGGCAGTCATTTGAAGATGTCCAGGCGGCTGAGAATCCACGCTCCATTCCTGCGCATTCTCGCCCAGTGCGCTCCAAAACGACAGAGCATTATGCAAGGGGCCAACCGGGAGCTTGTTTGTGCGAGTGTGCCCTCAACATTTTAAACAGTAACATTCCCCTCACACTGAAAGAAAAGAGAAAACTTAGAAGGTACAAGCAGCAGATGAGACACCTAGCAGACAAGAAGGTCGGCGTGCTAAAAAAGAAAAATTCTCCATCAGAAGGGGGAGGGGGGATTCCTTGGAGCATTGCTTACACCGATACTGGGCACTCTGGGTGGCATGTTGTTCAAATAAGAAACATGGAGCATGCCAAGAAGATGGTTTTGATTCCTCACGAGACCTTGAACTGGTTACAAGCAGCTAGACGACTTGAACAAACCCCCAACACTAGAGTCGTGCACGGACTGGACTCTAAAATGAGATGGCATCTGGACAGACAAGATATAGGAGCGGAAGAAAAATTAAAACTGTACCAGACCCTGGGAAAGTGCATGCAGTATAACAAACAGAGAAAAATTTTCATGACATTGACCCTGGAATCGAAACCATGAGACCATCCCCTTCGCCTTGAAAAAGAAACGGGTACGATTGAATCTGATTCATTCAGCACAGAAAGAGAACTCCCAAAACTGGATCCTGAGGAAGGAGTGGAAGAAAAAACCCTTTGCCCCTACGTATACCGCGCCTGACAGAGATGAAGATTTTGGGCTTTCTTTATTTGCAGAAGTGTTACCAGATGCGTCCCCCAGCAGGCCCGAGTTTTGAAAGCTGCGTAAAAAGAAGGGGAAGAAAGCCGGACGGCCTGCCACTACCCGTATGAAATTGACACCAAATTAAGCACTGTGACCTTCTGAACCAAGCTCATTTTTCAATTGCCCTTTGTCATGGATTGTTATCCTCCAAGACAACAGTGAAGAATTGGCCACATATTAAAAACGGTGTGTTGTGTTGCCGCAGGATGCATCAGGGAATATTCATCGAACCAGGTTGAGAGAGATAACAGCTTTTATAAGAAAAAATACGAGGGCATCGAGATACAATAGCTATCCCCTTCAAGATCCCTTAATGACCGTTTGCAGTCAGTATTGCATATTTTTCTTAATGCATCGATGCAGAGACATCGGCATGAGTAAAATTGTTAGCATGTTTTCAAAAGATGCCTTGGACAAAGATACATTGGTAATGAATTTATTCAGATGCATTTCCCTTCCCTTGGTACTAAAACGCTCAACTTTCATTTTGTTTTTCGACAAATTTCAAGAGTGTTTACAAGACCATGAGATGGATACAAGTTATTATGCTCGAGCGTTGAATAATGCCATTCGCGCATAATTTCAATTAATTTTTTTTAGGTTTAACTTTGTACTTAAAGTAGCTTTTGTTTTTCCCATT